TGGGTGATAAGGGGATAAGGTGGGATGGGTGATGGGGCAAGGGGCTAGAGATAACTGTTGGGAGAAGTGGGGGTTGGGAGTGTGTAGGGGTGAGGATTAGCAAGTGAGGCATGGGGTGTGGTCTTAGGAAGGGTCTGGGGAGATCTTCTCAGAAGAGATGGGAAAGGTTATGGGGCCACTGGTATGTGGATGGGGGGTGTTGGGTGTGGGCTAAAATTTGGGAAGAATATGGAGCTGGGGTGGGTCAGGATGGGGGTGAGGTAGTCTGGAGAGGTGTGGGCAGCACGAGGTCACTTTTACACTCCTACATTTAATCCACTATATCCTTGTCTGAGCTATTACACATTGCCTCTTCTCTGTCCCAGAAGCCCAGTGCTCACATTCTTGAGCAACAAGCTTCTGTGGATTTTGAGGCTTTTCTCCAATGGAGGCTTTGTCATGCTTCCCAGAAGGCCATGTCTTGAGTACTTCCCCCTTCCTCCCCCGCCCCCTCCCCCAGCACAAACCAGAGCCCTTTTTGCCTGGGAGAATCATCGATCAGGGAGGCTGACTGCTGACTGTGAGGCTCCACTCCCAGCCTGCAAGCTTGGGTGACAATAGGGACTGCTGGCCACCTTAGAGCATCTGCCCTTTGCCCAGTGACCTGAAGTCCTTGCTCTTAGTATCAGTGTTAGCCCAGGACTCCTGCTTGGCAGGAAAGCTGTGACAGGTGGGAGGAGAAAGGAAGGCAGTGAGGCAGAAACAGCTGCCAGTCAGAGTGGAGGAAGAACAAGGTCCCAATGGGTATGGACATAAGGCGAGGAGCCGGCTCTGGCAGTCCCCCTTCCTCTGTGTGGAGGTGTCATGCCCCTCTCCAGCTCTTCCCATTCAATGCCACTGTTCAGGGAGCAGGCTCTGCTCATGGGGCTTCAACCTTGCATTAGAACAGACTTAGAGGTCACTTGGCCAACTCCCCCCATAACCTGGAGTCATCTCCACAGCATTTCCTTCAAGAGTCTGCCTGTGTCAGGCCAGATGTTTCCTGGGAACAGGAGCTCACTTCCTCCTAGGGCAGTCTGTTCCCTCTTTGGAAGGAAAGAAGCTGTTAAGTGTGACTTAAGCTCTTAAGTGTGACTAGGCCACTCCAATGTGCCAGGCCTAGGTACTGTGCAGGCTTGTCATTAATAATGACCTCACAGAGCTGTTATGATGAATTAGCTCCAGTTTATAGATGAGAAAAGTAAGGCTCAGAGAGTTGAAAGCCCCTAGCTCAAGGGTCACACAGGGAATAGATAAAAGAGCTGGGTTTGAACCCAGGACATTCTAACTACAAAGTCACTTTGGGGGTAAGCAAGACATGCCTCTTTTGTACCATGACAACTCTTCTGAGATTTAAAGTCAGAGACCACATCCTCCTGACTCTCCTCTTCTCCAGGTGAAACAGCTCCTTTGACTCTGTCCCGGAGAACCTGGGTTCCAGCTTCCTCCCCATCTGCTCAGTGTGAGATCCAGAATGAAACACCCAGTCTGCCCAGGTGGGTTCGGGCCTGTTCAGAACAGAATATAACTATCACATCCTTCCTTGGCACCAACCTTTACTTCTGTGGCCCTGTGGCAGGTAAGAGAGTTAATTGTCCTTCTCTTGGGCTTCTATCCCTTCTTGAATCAGAACTATGAGAGAAGGAGCCAGGGTTTTGTTTGCATTTCCACCACTCCCCCTAGTTGCACTGTCCTAAATTTTAGGTCAGAGAGGGACAAAGGTGGGAACAGAGGCCATCGGAACCAGCAGGGGTGCGGCAGGGCTGGGAGGATGGAGAGCTGTGGGGGAGTGAGGCAGCTGTCCAGCAGGGCTGGGAGGAAGGGCCAAGGGTAAAGGGAGATGAGGGCTCAGGGGCTGTATGAACAAGAAGATAAGGGTGGGGTAGAACAGCAGCCTGAGTTTGGAAGAGGCCAGGGTGGGGATGGGCATCGGTCTGCCTTAGTTAACATCCTTGCTGTGCAAGAGGAAGTCAGTCGCACATTAAGGAAATGTTGCAGCTGGTACTAAATTGGGAGGTGTCACAGGCAGCAGTGAGGACAGGTATGATTCGTGGGGCCCCATATGGCCTGAAACAGGGGCAGGCATCGCTGAGGGATGAGGGAGAACAGGGTTTCTGGAACTGCCCAGGAAAGATCTGACTGAGACGCTCAGGACAGGCCCCAGGGCAGGGTGTGCCCTCCTGACCCTGGAGCAGAGGCTCCAAAAGCTTGGTTTCCTGGCCTGGGCTATGGGCTCTCCACCCAGGAGAAGCTTTGAGGATGAGGCATCATCCCAAGGGATCCCCTTTGGGGTAGGGGCTGGACAGGAGGGCTTAGAGCCTGGGGGCAAGCTTGGGAATGGGCAAGAAGGACTGGGATAGAGGTGGAGTGGTGGAGTGAAGGGAGAGGGGCTGCAGGTAGAAGCATGAACAGGGCTTCCTTTTCCCTCAGTGCCCATAAAACAGTGGAATCCAGAGTCATGTGGGTGTAGGCCTCAGCTGGAGAAGAGTGGGAGACGCCAGGAGAAAGCTGGCACTGCCCTTCTCCCAGCACAGCTGGCAGCAAGAGAGCAGGCGGAGTTCATTTGAGAGGGAGAAGAAGAGAGTGACAGCGACAGCAACAGCGACAAGGAGACAAAGGAGAGCAGGGAGGGCCCTGGCCATGGGGAGCTTGATGCGAGGCTATGGCAAAAGCATGCCTCTGCTCTTCTGCAGAACATGAAGGTTGCAGGCCCGGCACTCCTGTTCATCAGCTAAGTGACCTCAGGGCAAAGGGCTCGATCCCCCTGCACCTCAGTTTCTTCGTCTGTAAAATGGGGATGATGGTGCTGGTATCGCCATCCTCCCTGGGCAGTTGTGATCTTGTAATATTTGTGAGAGAGGTTAAAACGCTAAGTGAAACACCAATGTCAGGTGTTATATTATCATTACAAAATGCTAATAGCTATCTCTTCCCACTTAAATCTCATGAAGGACTCAGGATGGGGGCAGAGCAAGGATTATGGATCCTGTGTTACAAATGAAGAAATGGAAGCTTAGGAAAGTGAAGTGACATGCCCAAGGTCACACTGCTAACAAGTGGTAGAGGTGATAAGGCCTCCCAAATCCAAGGCACTGGTTGGCTTTCTTCTCTATCAAACTGCTTGGTAAAAAATAATTAATACGGGGGATTATTATTTAGTGTGGGATCGGACAGAGCTTGGAGCCAACTGCCACAGGGGGGAAAAACCTGAGGGAAATTTGTAGTGTGGTCTCTCAGTCAGACTGGTAACTGAAGAGAAGAAGAATGACTGGGGCCACAGGACCGGAGGGAGGGCCACAAAGATAGACATCCTTTATTCTGTCTGCTGTGGACCATGCCCCTCCACTTTGGCTGAGTGTGTATCTGTGACTGACATGGAGGGTGTGTGTCTCTCTAGATGACAAAATGTGTCCTCCTTCACATGACACTTCTTCTGCCGCCTGACACCGTAGGGAGCTGTGTGTGTGTGTGTGTGTGTGTGTGTGTGTGAGAGAGACAGGGTGTCTGCTTCGATGGCACCGTTTGAGGATGTGATGACCTCTCTGTATCTCTGCATGACTTTGCCTGGGGTGGTGGTGGTGGTGTATGGCAGTGTGTATTTGTCTGTCTGTACACCTTTAAGAAGTGGAATATCTCATTTGGTAGTGTGAGTGAGGCAGTGAGTCAGCTGAGGCTGAGGGAGGCGGGAGGGAGACTGCTAGGTTACGAGAATGGGGAAAAAGGAGAATGAGAAAGTGAAGTCAGGAGCAAGGAGCTAGCCCTTTCCTCCCCGACCCCTGCCTAAATCCTTAAGGAGCCCACCAAGAGCATGGAACCCTGAAGAAGTCCACAAGGGTCGCATTAGATGGAAAGGAGCACTTTCTGCCCCTCCCTGAGGCCTCTGAGGGAGACAAACTAGGATAGGAGTCTCTCTCCAGCTCTCAGCCCCCAGTTCCAGGATGAGTGGGGCCACCACCCCACCTGGTCTCTTCTTCACTTGACCCTTTGGCCTTCCTATTCTCTTTTCTCCCAGAGGCAGGTCACCTGGCCAAGCAGAGCAAACAGAGCAGTAGCACCACATCCCAAATGTTGATAGCCACCATGCACCTATTGTCCAGAATGACCCTACCGAGGGTCAAGAAGTTTCTCCATACCCAGCTCTTCCCTAGGCAGGCCTGTTCTGCAGTGGCCTCCCCTCTCCTCTGGACGCCTGTCGCCAGCAGCCGGATAACCAGCTTTCCCTCCACTGCTACCCCAGTGTGTTGGGAAGGCATTGGGAGTTTTGTAATGCACCAACCTCCAGTGGCCCTCCCACAAACCGCTGTGCCCTGTTCCCCAACTCCTGTTATCAGGGAAGAGGAGCTGGCAGGTTCCCTACTTGAGAGAAGACAGGCACCCCTGGGTGGACTATACCTCGGGTCATCTAAGGTCACTAGAGCCCCGCACCCCACCAGCTGGAATGCTTCTTCTCTCAACCACTGGCAGGGGCCAGAGGGTGGACAGGTTAGGTTGCCAAATATTTTTTTAAATAAATTAATTTTTATTGGTGTTCAATTTACCAACGCCAAATATTTTTCCTTCCACCTTTGGCCTTCCGCCTCCAACAGTCAGTCCCAGGACTTTCAATTCTGACTCAGGAAAGGAAGGGGGCACCACTGGTGGAGGATGGATGTTGAGGGGTAGCCAGATCCGTCTTTCCATCCCTTTGTCTGTGACCCCTCCCACCTCATGCGGGGGCGGGACACCTGGAAGCCCCAGTCAGAAGGTGCCCAAACCCGGAATTAATAGAAATTGGCTGGGTGGTTAAACTGACCTGAATCCCTGAGGCACCCTTCTCTGGGGAGGGTCCCAAGGTAGTACTCATGGTGCCCTGCTGTGAACGGTGGGGATGTTGGAGGAGGTGAGGTGGGTGGAGGGGGAGACTTCCTTTTCTCTCTGAGTCTCACCGCCACCGCTACCGCTGCCGAGAAGGAGGTGTCGTGCCCGCGGACGCCAGTCCCTACCTTACAGCCTTTCGTGCAGGACCGGATTGAGTACTCTTCTGCCTGTAAGTATTTATGCAGCACGAGGTCGAACTCGTCATATTTTTCCTGAGCATGTCGGTCGAGCCGCTGGTATGCCTCGATACAGTTGCTACAAACCTCCCAGGCCCCGGAGCCCGGGCTGGCCACTACAGCCAGCAGGTCCCCCAGCAGGGTGTCCAGGCTGCAGTCCAGGCTGTCGGGGCGGTCCATGCCCAGCAGCAAGTCCCAGACCGTGTAGGTGTCGCAAAAGGAGAGAGTGAAGTTCCGAAAGTGGCCTTTGAGCAAGTTTTTTTTGGCGGAGGGGAACTCGGCCGGGGCACGGGAAGGGGAGTCAGGGGGCCGCAGTGGGGGGGCTGGGGTTGTCGGTTCAAAAAGTCTCTGCAAAGATTGCAATTTGGTGCAAGCTGCATCCAGCCCCGTGGGCTCTGGGACGCCACCGCAGTCCGGCCTGGGACCGGCAGCGGGGGCGGCTTTGGTCAGGTTGCTGTACTGGGGGCCGCAGGTGCCCGGGGGCGCGCTGGGCTCGCCGGGCGGCGGCGGCGGCGGCGGCAGGGGCAGCACCGCGCGAGGAGGCATCGGCTGCCGCTCCCGGCCGGTCCCCCAGGGCGGCCGCATGGCGCTGCTCAGCTCCCTGGCCCGGGGCCGGGCCCCCGCGCACAGCCACAGATGGTCAGCGAGCAGCACGGTGAAGAAGAGCAGGGACGCCAGGGACAGTCGCCATCGCTGCGCCCGCTCAGAGTCAGCGCAAGGTTTGTCGCTCGGCCTGGGAGCCCAGCAGCAGCAGCAGCAGATAGTCAGCGCGGCGGCGTCTTTCCCGGGCCACATCCAAGCGCCCCTGAACATATTTCAGGGGGGGTCCGGGCCGGAGGGATCAGGCGGGCGCGAGGCCGGACAGCCGTCACGCGCGGGCGAACCGGCTGCACGCCGCTCCGCGTTCCTCCGCGCCGTCCAGGCTCTACCTCGGGGGCCGCATGGTGAGGCAGGCCGGCCGGCCGGCCCGGGGCCCCGCTCAGGCCAGAGTCGCAGGGTGCTCTCGTGCCGTCCCCGCGCTCCTCCCGCGCCCCCTCGCTCGCAGCCCGGGCGCTGCCGCCCGGCCCTCTAGGCACTGCCCAGCGTCCCGGCGGGGGGCTGTGCGGGGCACTGGGGCGGTGGCGGCTGCGGCGGCGGCGCCGCACTCCTCATAGTGTCGGGCCCCTCAGCTGCCCAGGGCTCCGCGCCACTCTAGTTCGCGCCGGCGGCCGCCCGGCTCGCACTGTGTTCTGGCCGTCTCGGCTCGGCGCAGCTCTGCGCCCCTCAGCGCCGCCGTGCGGGCCCGGCCACCACGCTCCACTCGTTCGCCCCGCGCCGCGCCGCGCCGCTCCCGCCCGCCCGTCGGCCAGCCCGCCTGCTGCCTGCTCCGCGCGGCTCCCTGCCTTGCTTGCGCCCTCCTAGGCCCGCCGGCCGGCCCGCTGCCCGGCCCTTCGGGCTTCCCTCGCGCTCTGGCCGTTCGCCCGGGCCGGTCCCGGGCCGGCTCCGCTCCGGCTCCGCGCCTGCTGCTCCCGGAGTTCCGGCTCGGGCGGGCCACCTGGCTCCCTGCGGCGCCACAGGCGCCGGACCCTACACCGGGCTTCACTTAGTGCGCCGCTCGCTTCCGTCTCCCGTTAGCACCGCTGTGGCGGCCGCCGAGCCGCACGGCCCCGTGGCTCCCGCTGGCCATGCCCCCTCAGTCTGTCGCCATCTTCTGCTGTGCGGAGAACACCTTGAGAGCCCGTGTGCGAGTGTGTTTGGGGGGGGGGCGGAGAAAGAGGCACTGAGAGGAGGAGGGAGCGGGACTGGGGCCCCAACTGCGCCTGCGCCTCAGGACTCGCGCGCCCCCCGCCCCCCCGCCGCAGCCCCAGCCGGCCCCAGCCTGTGCTGTTTGGGGATGTTTCCAGTCCACCCCCAACTCCATTCACTTCAGCGCCTCCGTTCATCCGCTGGCTCCCCGCGTGCACACGCCACACGCTGAGTCCCAGGCCCCGGCTCTCTCCCTCCCCCGCCCACCTGGGTGCCCGCCTCCCTCCCCAGGGCGGCTGCTCACTCCCCGCTGAGGGTGATTCTTGGTGGCCGGAGGCAGGAGGCTTCTCGTTAGCGTCTTGCTGCCTCCCTGAGTCGCCTCCCCTGTCCCCGTGACTAGGCGATGCTGGAGCCGGCTGCGGATCGGACCAGTCCCATGTCCCTAACTCAGCAGTCACCCTCACTGCCCTGCCCGAGGCCCAGACGGCCCCTGGTGCTGAAGGACAGCTCCTAGCTCTGCTGCCAAAGAGGTCAGAGCCCGGAGAGCGCCATGGAGGGGGCAAGACGGTGGGCTAAGATGGGTAGTAGAGATAGGGTTTCTGCCCTTAGTAAGATTTACAGCAGCCTCTCCCCCTTTCCTAGCTTCCTGGCTCCCCCTACAGGCTGCTGAGAATAGCTAAGAGAGTTAGGGAAGCTGCGCGGCCCGGATGGAACCATGTGCTTGGGGCCCTCAGAGTCACATGGCACTAGGAACTCAGACATACAAAGGTCCAGCCGCGCCACTAACCTTGTTTGGATTCCACCAAATCTCAGACTGGTCCTGTTGTCTACTTCTTTTCCTCACTCCCTCCCACTCCAAGTAACTCCTTCATTCAAATTTTTAATCAACCATCACCAGTAAAAATGTGTTAATATTAAGAATAACAGCAATAAAGAAAATTGCCTTTATTGAGAGAATACTAGGTGCTAGATTACTGCTCTAGGTACCTTGCTTACATTATTTAATTTAATCTTCACAACAATGTTGTGAGGTAGGCACTATATTGTTTTCTACATTTACATATGAGGCAGCTCAGATGTAGAGAGGTTAAGTTGGCTAAGGCCACAAAGCTAGCAACTGATGAAGCCAAGGCAGAAACCCAGGCTGTATGGCTCTAGAGCTCTCTTCACACTCCAGGGAAGCCCTGGAAAGATGAAGGGGTGGACACACAGTCCTGACTTAAAGGAAGTTATAGTATACAGGAGGAAAGAAATCATGTAAGTTGGCTAGTGGGAGGATTCATGGGCTGGAGACTAGGGTTCAAACAATAGTTCTTCCACAGAACATAACATGTGTCCTTGAGAGAGTCCTTTCTCTGAGACTTGGTTTCCCCCTGATTAATAGGAGGGGATACCAAGGGCTAAGTGAGACAGGTGGGAATCATTAGCACTAGCCAGGGTGGGCTGGGATAGGTGCATGAATGGTTTCTCGAAGAGTGAAAATTTGAGCTAGTTCTTAAAGAAGTAGCAGGATTGGGGTGGGGATTGGAAGGGCATTCCACTTAGGAGGAATGCAGGTGAATGTTTCAGGGATGAAGAGGAGCCCTGTAAGTTTGTGAAGCCACAAGTGTGACGGTTTGGCTGTACTGGTGGTGAGAGCTTGTGGGGAAGGGAGTGAAGGGATATGAGACAAGGAACAAAACTGTCAGGCATTTGGGAGGCCTATTCATTCATTATGTTCCAGGTACTATGTTGGGCACTAGGTAGGAGACTGAAATGGATCAGGCATGGCCCCACCCTTGAAATGCTCACAGTAGAATTAGGGATACAGACGTTTTAAAGAAGAAATTGCAACCCAGTGCAATATGGATAAATAAGAGTGGGAGGAAGGAGAGATTTTCCTCCCATAAGGGAAAGGACTGATCCACTCTGCCAGCTTCCCTCAGAGACAACTTTGCACACAGCCATATGAGTTGGGGGCATTCATTCATTCACTTGGCAAACATCTTTTGAGGATCTGTTATGTTCCAGATGCTGTACTAGGCATCAGAGATATAGGCATGCACAAAATATGTGTCTTGGGCCAAAGGAGTTTAGTTGAAGTCTTAGGGATGAGTAAGGATTGGCTAGACAGATAGGAGAGAAGGTGGTGTGTGAAGGATGTCCCAGGCAGAGGGAATGTCATGTGTAAAGGCCCAGGAGCAAAGCCAAGAATGGCATGTTCAGAAACCTGCAAAGTAGTTCATTGTGAATAGGTGTGAAATGGGAGCACTGCCAAAAATGAGGCTGAGGATTTGGCAGGAGCCAAATCATGAAGGGTCCTGGGTGCCGTGTTAAGTAGTTTGGACTTTATCCCCGGGGTACTAAGAGCCACAAAAGAGGCTGAAAGGTTTTCAGCAGGAGGTCACACAATCAGATTTGTATTTTTAGAAGACCCATTTGGCTGCATGAGGGAGATTGGGTTGGGGCAGGGGGAGACTGGAGGCAGGGAAACTGGTTAGTAGACTAGTTGGTAGTTCAGATGAGAGGTGTTGAGGGCTAAACAAAGCAGCAGAAGGAGTAAAGAGAAGAATTACATGGGAAGGAAATGACAGGTAGAATTAAAACGACCTGGGACTGGCCTAGATGTAAGGAATAAAGTAGGGCCTGAGGGAAGAGGAAACCAAAGGGTTCGAGTTTGTCACACTGGCATGGCTGCCCCTGCCTCCCTAGGAACTGTCTTTCCAGAGCCATTCTTTGTTTAGTCCTTAGAGGGTTCAGTGTTCTGTTTAACAAAGAAGGCTAATCGCTTACAGATACCTGGTTCTGAGCTGATTGGCAGGGCCACAGTGATTGACACCCTCAAATGCCAATGAAAGAGCAGCCTGCCTGGCCTAGGCTATCAGCTCTAAGCACCTCTGGAGCTTTCTGTGAGAAGTCACTCAGGCAAGACTCCCTCCCTCCTCAAGCACACACAGGGCAAAAAGTGCCTCACAAAAGTCCATTTATCACAGGAGCACAATATAACAGTAACTTACCTATACAGTACCTGCTGCAAACAAAGGAGAAGTGGTAGCATGACAGCCGTCAGAGGAAGCTCTCATTCTCTCCCTCTAAATTACACAAGAAATTGGGATTGGGAAAGGGGAGGCATGGGCCTCTAATCAGGCCCTAGGAACAGAACAGCCAGGTGTAGGTGGGGGACTGGGCTCTCCAGAATTGGTGGGCCCTGGCCAGCTTTCCGCCCAGCCCTTTTTCTCTACGTGCTGCAGGTTAGCAGAGGCTAACACTGGAGGGTAAAGGTGGATCACTTCTGATGGGACCCAGTCTGCCTAGCAAGAGTGATAGGGTGCCCCCAAACCTGGTAAGGGGAAGACACCTTGGAGTAGAAGGAGGAAGGGAAGGTTTTTCACTGTGAAATCCTGACAATTAGGAAGAATAAAAAGTGGGAGCCATTTAAAGAGACTAATATGTTTACATAGGGAGCTTTCTGTTAAGCTCAGATCTTAAAAGGTCATAGGAAAAAGATGGGAACAAGAGCTTGTAATTAAGGCCGAATCTAAGAACCTGTAAGAAGAGTGTCAGGATGGCTAAAGCACGCTTGAACTAAAACTTGTCAGGCTCTGCCTGGATCCCAGCCCCTGCCCCTCCCCCACCCCCCCATCCCTCTATAGTTGGAGTACTTTCCCTCCTGCCCGAGGCTACACCTGTCCTAAGACAGAAAGGATGGAAGTAACCTTACTCTGTGTTCTGGAACTCAGGATCAAGTAGCCCTTTTGTCACCAGTCTGAGCTTTATTTCAAATTTCCACTGAGCCTCTATCTCATTGCTCAGTTCGATCCCTGGCCTTCTGTCTCCTGTCCTATGGCTGAGCCCCCTAGTCAGAGATCCTGCCAGATCCTCCCCTATCAAGTCCTAGGACCAGTAGGCTCTTTTAGTCCACCATCTAGGGAGAAGAAGGTCCTGACCCCAAGCCCCCCCCACCCAAGTGGCTGAAGGCTGATGGCCTATACTAATGGACTCCTCTGACCCCAAATGCCCACTTGTATTTCTAAATGTCTAAATTCCTATGGTCATGTTAGCCCTCCACTTGGATCCCCCGTTTTCCAATTGGTAACCCTATGTCAGTTAGGTATGCTTTTAATTGCAAATAATATGTCAACAATAGTGGCTATGTAAGATAGAGGTTGATTTGTCTTGTGTACCAAAAATCCCCTGAATACATGGTTCAGGACTGGTTTGACAGTTTAACCATGCCATCGAGGCCCTGGCTTTTCATCTCCACTGTCCTTAGGGTAGATTTGCTTTTTGTCTCATGGTCGTAAGACACCTGCTACAGCTCTGGGTCTCATGTCTGCATTATAGACAGGAAGAAAGGAAAACAGCTGTAGGGCAAGAAGGCTAAGGACAAAGAACCTTCTAGAGAGGCTTTGTATTAAGAATGGAGCACTCTCCCCAGTGACATTTACCTACATCTCTTTGACTAGAACTGTGTTATAAGAACACTCCCAGCTGCAAAGGAAGCCAGAAAGTCCACTACTTTTAGCTGGGCACAATGCTGCTCTGAACAAAGTTGGAATTCTGTGAGTAAGGAAGAAGAAGGAAATCCTTATTGGGCAGGCAATTGGTAGCACCTACCATGAACCCCAACCACCAACTAACTGCTTGCCTTGACTGCCCTTCCTTACTAAACCCGTCATACACTGGGCTTTGACTGCTAGACTTGACTTCCTTTCAGCAAGTACAGCGGTTTTGTTCCTCTAGCACAGCATAGAAGAGACCTGCCTGGTTTAGCAGCAGCACATGTGAAAAATACCTTGATTTGATCATAAAGTCAATGGAGTGATGAGTCAACGGAGTGATGATGCTGCCAAAAGAGCTAATTAGATTTTAGGCTGCATTAGTAGAAGTATATAACTAGAACAAGAGAAAAGATGGTTCTGCCTATACTTGTCATATCCTGGAGCACTGTGCTCCATTCTGGACAACCCATTTAAACAGGGATACATTGACAAAGTGTCCAAAGGTGGGTCACTAGGCTGGTGCACC